CTGAAATCATAAGTTTTGGAGAAAATGGAAACAAAAGGACACTTAACATCAGAAAGAGTTGAAATTTCTAGAACACATAATGAGGAAAGAGGATGTGGAAAATTTGATACTCACAGGACAGATTGAAGGCAAATGGAACAATAGGAAAACAACACATAACCTACCTAGCAAACTTGAGTAAAGAGCAGGGTAAGATTTAGGTGAGATAACAAAAAAGACAAAATTTATTAAAAGCTACAAAAGATAGAAAATTGCTGATCACTGTCTTTGATTGTCAGGACATGTAGCAAGAATGCAAGAGTCAAGGTTTCCATGTCAAGTCTTATTCAGTGAGCTTACTTCAAGGGAAAAAGATCACAGGGTTGCTCTCTTCAAAGAGATAAAGACCAACTCAAAACAACATTGAAAGCCACAAGATTTCAAAATTTTTTTTCAACATGAGATAACAAGGGAGGTTAAATCATTTAAAGAATTCAAAAAATTAAAGTAAAGGAACTTTTCAAAGAATGGAATGTGGTAATTCTGGAAAACTATTTTTTTAACCAAGTGGAATAATATCTTTCAACACATGATATTATGAAAGCATGCATGTAAAGACTTAAACCAACTATAATAATTCCTGTTTCTTGTTTGAGCCATGGGAAAAAATATGAAATTAAGGTGATCCTTCATGTAAGTAGCATAAAGTAAACACTGTCTATTTCTCTGAGATGAAGTATTATGATTATTTACATTATTTGGACTGTTACCCTCATCTTCATTGTCATATTCACAACATTTCAGCCATTGTATGCTCTTCAGCCAACTTCAGGTGATTGAAATTTTGAACTGAATCTTTTATTTCATCCACCGGGATAGATTGTTCTAGTTCCATGTGCCATGCCTCTTTTGGATGTCAGTTATTTCCCTTTAACTCAATTCTCCAAGTGTTTTGGTTCACCGCTGCTGTAGTCTGGTATTGAACTCCCAACTCTTTGGGTCTAGTCATTGGATCTAACCTTTATCCACTGGGCCATGTATCTTTGAGGAATATAGCAATGAAGATTAGGATAACGGTCAGAATAATATAAATAAAATAGTTTCATTTCAGCCATCTCACATAGTAGACCAAGTTCTCCACAGTCAATCGTTGATCTGAATGAATTATCATCACCAGAAGATATTTTTTCAAAAAGATTGGTACTTACTGGAGCTCAGCAATCATCTTTAGGAGCTTATGATGCTGTGTTGGTTATCACATTGAATACATGTTTGAAACCGCCTACATTGCAACCAGTGAAACCAGTCATTTGAGCTAAATGTCTATCAAGGTGCAACAGATTGTTATTGCTGTTATTGCAAATCATGTAAACATCGTTGAAGTTTTCAGAGATGATTCATTCTTGCTAATAATCTGGAAAATCTTTGGATGTGCATCAAACATAAATTATTGACATTTTGGAACTTCTGTAATGTTGTTCAGATTGCACCTTCACAAATGCATGTGCTATTAGCAGTACAAGAACACTCCCGTGTTTTTACCATTTATTTGCAGCATAGTTTACCATCTCTATGGCAACAAGCCTTGGAAACTCTACTCAAGACAGGGGCAATGCTTCAGAGTCTTTCTGGATATCAATTGTTCTGACCAGATTACCAATATTGTAATTCTCACCCATACCCAGTTATCAAGCTTCCACACCTTTCTCCAACAGTGCCAGCTCCGATGACTTTGCCTTGTTCACTGTATTCTGGAAGAGAAGGTTTTGGAGGTCGTTCCATATGGGGAACTGGTCACCAGCAAGCAAGTACGAGGATGACCTCATCTTCACTTCAAGGATCTCTACAAAAGGGACATGAAGGCGATGGACCTGGACATCAAGAGATGATAAGACATAGCCAATGAGCTATGGGAAATGAGAGATGGGGGAAAATGTAGCTAGAGATGCAATTTACACAGAGGGCTAGAGAGGAGAAACTTGTCATCATAAAGGAGCGTGCTCAATGGAAAGAAAACTCCGCTGCAACACCAGGGGAGTGCTTCTTAACATGCATTCATTGCAATTGAGACTGTACAGTCATAACAGATGTTGTGCTGTTATCAGCAACTGAGGCATATAGCATATATATAATACATATACATACTGTCTATTATATAGCACACATGAGCTGTATATTATCTATATAGCACACATGAGCTGTATATTATCTATATAGCACACATGAGCTGTATATTATCTATATAGCACACATGAGCTGTATATTATCTATATAGCACACATGAGCTGTATATTATCTATATAGCACACATGAGCTGTATATTATCTATATAGCACACATGAGCTGTATATTATTATATAGCACACATGATGTATATTATTATATAGCACATGAGCTGTATATTATCTAAATTGAGCTGTATATTATTATATAGCATTTTGTGTATATATATAATAAAATATATTATTAAAATTTTTTTTTGGTTTATTTACCTTGTGTATATAGTGAAAAAAAGAATTTTTTTTTTTCTGCAGTGGTCATATAGTGGGGACTCAGATTGGTTTATGATTCTGAGTCAGAGAAGCTATGAAGTTCTGAAGAACTGCTGGTGGCTGCTACTGGTATTTGTTCAGTGCTGGTGCTTCAGGTGCTCTGGCCAGGTGTTGGAGAGATAACTGAGGTGGATTTGGGCTTAAAATTGAATCCAAGTTTAATTGCTTTCCACAATTATACTGCTCACGAATTATTAATTCTCTTTATGTGCAGAGGTGTTGATAATAAGCTTGGATGGAAGGATTCTGTTGTATCAACGAATTGTAAGAGAGGCTGTCAATGGAATCTCATACATGAGACATTTTTGGCTTCACTACAACCTCTTCCTCAGAGTCACTGGAACTCTCAGCTAAATGATCACCAGCCAGAACTGATTCTGCTGGGAGATAGAGCACATAATCTGTCATGATCAATAGTTTGAACGAGGTTAGTGCACTCAGATCCTTGGTCATGATGACTTGTAACTACATTCTAGCACAACCATCTGAATGATTGCTTCTGAATACTTATACATATCCAGTTTTACTCACAAGGCTTGGGTCAACTCATGGTTTTCAGATACTTTCCAACAGTACAGTAGGTTGAGATTACGTCCCTAGGCAAAATGACTTAAGAAATCATTGGAAAATCAGCTATAGTGAGATTTGAACCCAGGTCCCATAACTAGAAAGCAAATATCATACTTATTATAAAACCCAGGTTGGTTGTGTGTGTGTGTGTGTGTGTCTGTTTGTTTATATATTGGATTGGATTTCCTACATTTTTCAACCGATTTCAACAAAACTTCACTTCTTTTTTTTCTTGGCAGGTAGTGTTTCTTATTGTCTTGCACACTTTTTTTTTTATTTTTACATTCAGAATGCTTTAAAAATTCCATTTACAAGACAATTGTTTATAATAAAATTCTATTCAATCATAACGATTGAAAACAATGTTTGGGTTTGACCAATTCGTAAAAAAAACAAAACAAAAAAAACTGATTAAGGCATGCGTGTCCGTCAGCCTTAAACAATAATCTTTGTCAATTTTATTTTTCAGTCTTTATGATGGTCGATACTTGATCTATCTCTTACTGTTACATCCCCGGGCAATGCTGGGCTCTACTGCTAGTTTAATATATGCACACACTTTTTTTTTTTTCTTTTTTTTTTGGTGTTTTTTTTTTTTTATATTCATTTGTTTTTTTTTATGATGTTTATTTGAATGATTTTCTAACTTTCAGGTATCTCTTTATGTTTAAAAGAAAATTATTTTTGACTCCTCTTTTGTTTTTAATAAGTGTTCAACAGTTTGAGGCCACCTGCAAGTAATCCGTTAAATGGTTGCTTCCCTTTGAAACCCTATCTGTAATGAAAAGAAATTTGAAGGATAGATTTGAGTAAACTTGTGTGATCTTGTGAATAGAATTGCGCCCTGTTGCATATTGTACATTTTATAAGATTACAATGAAACGTCTAGTCTTTTCTCAATTTTTGGCATTAAACTTAAGCAGTTGTTATCAGTCTGCCTTACTATTTGTTTTTATCATTTGCATTGAATTACATTTTTCATTTTGGGGATGGAGAGAAAAAAGTCCTAAATATGGTTGCTTAATATAAAATGTTTCCAGATGTTGGCATTTTCCTTACATTTTTGGTTAAATTTTCTTTTTTAATTCATTAAATTTCATTATTTTTAATAATTTTCAATTATATATTTCAGATATTTTTCCAGTTATGTAATTGCAATTTTTTTATTGAAATATTTTGTAAAGATTCTTATTCTTTTTCTCTTTCTTTCTTTTTCTCTTTCTCTCTTTTTCTCTTTCTCTCTTTTTCTTTTCTTTTCTTTTTCTTTCTCTCTTTTTTCTTTCTTTCTCTTTCTCTCTTTCTCTTTCTTTTCTCTTTTCTTTTTCTTTTTTCTCTTTTTCTTTTTTTCTTTCTTTCTTTTTATTTTTTCTTTTCTTTTTCTCTTTTTCTTTTTCTCTTTTTTTTTCTTCTTTTTCTTTCTTTTTTTTCTTTTTTTCTTTTTCTTTTTTTCTTTCTTTTTTCTTTTTTCTTTTCTCTTTTCTCTTTCTCTCTTTTCTCTTTTTTTTTTTTTCTTTCTTTTCTCTTTTTTCTTTTTTCTTTTTCTTTTTTCTTTCTTTTTTTCTTTTTCTTTTTTCTTTTCTCTTTTTCTTTTTTTCTCTTTCTCTTTCTTTTTTCTTTTTCTTTTTTTCTCTTTCTCTCTTTTTTTTCTTTCTCTCTTTTTTCTTTTTCTCTTTTCTCTTTTTCTCTTTTTCTTTTTCTTTTTTTCTCTTTCTCTCTTTTCTCTTTTTTTTCTCTTTCTCTTTCTTTCTCTTTTTTTTTTCTTTCTCCTCTCTCTCTCTCTCTCTTTTTCCCTTTTTTTTCCTTTTTTTTAACCAATGAGCAATTTGTATTTTTGTCGTAATAATTGCTTTATATATTAAAAGGAAAAAAAATGACTATTTGATTTCAAATAACATTTGCATGCTATCTGTTATGGCAGCTGCAAATTCTTCTGCAAAGGAATCCAAGAACCAGAATGCCCAGAGGAAAGGTCTGTTCCTCTCAATTTTATAATTTACTAAAATAGCTTTCCTGCATTTTTTCTCTCCTGCTTTTAACCCTAACTGCTTTTCATGCATGGTTAAAACTTTCTCACATCAAAAAAATAAATCATATCCAATAACAACTAACATCAAACAGTTTATTTTACAAGCATAAAATATTTGTTTTAAAGTATATAAAAATTTTAATAGACTTAATTTTTATTTTACATTCTAAGAATATTAAGCTGGTTTCTAAAATACTTATATATATATATATATATATACACACACACACACACACAAATTCAGAAATTACTAGCTAAAATTTCAGTTTGAAATGTTTTTTTATTTTAATGAAGGCTTACAGCCACATCATGTTGAAACACCGGTTCCTGTACAATCACTGAAGTTAAGCAACGTCAAGTCTGGTCATTACCTTAGTGGATGACCCATTGGGAATACCAGGTGCTGTAGGCTTGGATGTGTAATGGATAGTGGCTCAGGATTGTTAATTGGAGAGCCAAGTTCCAATTCCAGTTGTGTTTACTATATTCACTTACGTGTAAATACTCATGGGAAAGGTATGAATACACCTCTTCTCTCCCTAGCTATGGGTTAATTAGTAAGATTTGTATCACTAAATCATTATCTCAAAAAAAAAAAAAAACATTCTTACAATCTAAAAAATATTTTCTGGCTTTAAATAACTTGCAAAGGGTTGATAAGCCATAGAAAATGAATTGATCAATATTTCAATGATTAAAAACTAAAAATTTATAACTACTAAAGTACTTAATATTTTCTAAAACTTAGGCAAATTTTAAAACAAGTCAGCCCATAGAAGTCGTTATTAAGAGTTACAATCATCTTCAAAGATTTTTTTTTTTAACTTGTGTTTTGCGTTTAGGTCTTGAAACCTACTTAAAAGCATTTAGTGCAACGTGACTAATTTTAAAGTTTTCATCATGAAACAACTTTATTTAAAAAAAAAAAACATTAGTCTGTATAAAATTTAAAAAAAAAAAAAAAGTGATATGTAAGTTTTATAAATTCTTTCTTTTATACAAAGTTAATTTTACATTTATCCAATTATCTGCCAAATAAATTTTTAAATTCACAACTAAAATTAAATATTTAAAAATTATGATTTTAGGCTAGATATAAGTACATATGCTTTGCTTAGTAGTGCATTAGAATTGTTGATGTGTCTGCAAATGTGATGAAAATCAATTTTTTTTTCTGCTACCTTTCCACTTCAGTTGAATGTAAAATATATTTGGATTTTGTAATGCTTATTTCAAGAAATAAAAGAAATATTGCTTTTGAAGTAATCTTTTATTTATTGATTAATTAATGTAAATTAAATTCTTTGCTTTTGTATTCTTTCTTGGTTTACCAATAATATTTTTGAGAAAAGCCCTCAGAATGATTGTGATAATGTCTATTTTGATTTTTTTTTCTCTCTCTCACTCTGCAATGCTATGAAATTGCCACAAGTTAATTCTGTGCTTTTAACTTTCTTTACTTTTTGGATTACTTGCTCTTTTCAATTTCTTTCAAAATACTAATCAACCCTTCTAGGTGATTTGCATAATTCTAAAAACTTTTAGAAAGAATTGCTCACTTGAAATGTTAAAGAAGCTATCATTGTTTTCTTAAATATACAAAAGGAAAAAATTAAATGAGTAATTACCACTGATATTTGAACCCATTATCTTTCAATTCAGAATTACTAATTGGGAGATATCTTTTCTACATAAATAGTATTTGGTAAACCTTGTTTAAAATGTGTACTCTTAGAAAATGACAGTTGACTCTTGGTGATATGAATATTAATCCATTTACTGTTGAAACAACAAATACTCTTACTCCACACCATTTTATAAAAAAAAAATTTCTTTCTCTGAATCTCTATTATTAGAGAAGTTGGCATTATGAATCTAGATTTTGTTTTTCCTATTTATTTTACCTTGTGTATTTTGTTTCTTTTTTTTTTTATTTTTTTATTTACAAGCTTACTTTTTTGCTAGCATTTACATACATTTTTGTTTAATAGTGAAGAGTCATTTTACTGTAATTTTTTATTTTTTTTATTTTTTTTTTTATTTATTTTTTTTTTATTTATTTATTTTTTTTTATTTTTTTTTGACATTTGAGTTTCTTAGAGTTATGTTATTTAAGCTCACAAGATGTTTCAGTCATTCGATTCTAGGGTACTCTTCAGATGTGAATGGGAATAACATCAATAATAGGAAGAAGAGATTTGATTGATTTGGGGTGGGGAATGTATTTTTATCTTTTTATTTTTTGCTTTTTATTTTTTGCTAAAATTTACATAGATTATTTTCTAAAGAATTAATGGATTTTTTTTTTTTAATCTGACATTTTTATTACTTCAAATGTTATTTTTAGTGGATAGCCATATTTAAGTAGACATTTTGTTTATTTTAAGCAATATTTATTTTGTCTACCAGTTTGCATACTTGAGAAAACTTAAAGAAAACATGCTTTCTGGCAAGATTTGAACCTGCGTCCCTCCTTTTCAGGAGGAATCCTAGTCTGATCCGATGTGCTTTGACCACATGGCCATGAAGAGCTTAACAATCAAGCAAGGTTCTATTTCACCTTTAAAGCACACTCACATGTTCAGATTTTTCTCAAAATACATATGTTCAACCTCTGTATTATTTCTAAAATTGTAACTATTTACACTAGTCGGACTGTTGTCTTCATCTTTGTCATATTCACAACATTTCTGCTGTTGTATGTCCCTGCCTTCTTAGGTGATATACATTGGAATTTCAAACTGAACCTTTTATTTAGTCCACTGGGGGTAGGTTGTTCTCATTCCATGTGCCATGCCTTTTCTGGATATCTCGGTTTCAGTTAATTCCCTTATATTTATATATATTCGAAGAAAAATTTTAAATTTGTCTATATTTCTGAGATGAAGTATTTTAACTATTTACACTATTTACATTGTTCAGACTATTGTTCTCATCTTTATTGCCATAGACACAATATTTCAGCTGTTGTATGCTCTGGCCTTCTTTCAGAAAAGGCATAGCATGTGGAACAAGAATAATCTACCTCAGTGGACTAAATAAAGGGCTCGTTTTGAAATAACCACGTTTATCACCTGAAGAAGGCCAGGGTGTACAATGGCCGAAACATTGTGAATATGGCAATAAAGATGAGGACAACAGTCTGAATAATGTAAATTGTGTAAATACATATCTGCTCAGTTTTGTATCGAAAATGTAAACAAAGCAATTTCTAAAGAACTCAAAGATTAACACAGATTTAAATCCTGTCAGAGGACAATATTTTTTTTTTTTTTAATTTTTTTTTTTAATCTTCTTGACTATGTGGGCAGGTAGCCAAAATACTGTTTAAAATAAATGGAGCATTTAATCAAATATGGGTATCCATTAAAAATAAAGTTTGAAATCCTTTCATTTCATATTGATAACATTAAGGGTCTGCTGCAAAATCTTGTTTTAATATTTTCTTATTTTTTCTCCTGCTTTAAAAGCTTGATTGCATACATAGAATCCGTCTGATAATTTTTCTAAAAAGTAGATTTAGTTGCTTTATTTCTTCTCTTGATCATTTTCTATCATGTGATGAAACATTTTTACAGGGTTTATCTGAGAAAGCTAATGAAATTGAGTTGACCTGTTCTCTTCAAATAAAACAACCTTTATCACTCTGCACATGACTTCATTTTCTGTACAAAAAGTTTATCCTGCTACTGAAGCTGACTCTGTTCCCTGAATAATGGTGTCTTTGAATTTCATAGTTGTGTTGTCATATCCAGCTATGGCAACAGGAAACAACTTTCAGTGAAATTAACAATAAGGATACTGCAATTGAGAGGCTTTGAAAAAGAATGCAGTGGAAAGGGAAGTAATATTAATAATGCAAAGTGTTAAAGGTTAAATAGAATATGTGTCCAATCATTAGACTATTATCCTCATCTTTGTTGTTATCACAGCATTTAGGCTGTTGTGCTCTCAAGCCTTTCTGAAGTGTATATTTTCCTATGGGACAGTAGCTTAGCGGAATAAAGCACTTGTTTATGAATTTGGTGACATAGTAATTGTGTAAAAAAAATATATATATATATATATATATATATATATATATATAGTTAATTTTCTAAGACATTAAAGTTAATTTAGATTTTTACTTAAGTATGTCTTACATCTATGAGGAATTGCTGAAAAATTCTTGGTTTAACCAAAATGGAATTCTAAAAGTTGAGAACGTTTTAAGCACTCCACATTGTAAGCTTTTTTTTTTTTTTTTTTTTTTTCTTGTTTAAATATAAAATTAGAAAACCTGTTATGTTTCTTTATTGGAGTAGGACATAGAAAAGTTTTTAGCTTGACCCACCTTCCAGAATCTGACCAAATCACCAAACATAGCTTTTTTTGTTTATTTGTCTTCTTTCTCTCTTTTTTTCTTTTTACCCCCAACCCATATAAAGGGTTTCTTCTTGGTTAGAATGAAAACTTAAGCACTCCTTCATATAACTCATAATAAATGTTAGCTCTTGGAACAACTCCACTTAAGATATTTGACAACATATTTGTAAATTTAATAACAGTTGGATGTCTATGTATTAGTTCCACTTGCCAATTAAATAGTCATTAGCAGTCAACATTGTTATGTTATTTGAGATGCCATATTAATGGACTAGAGCATAAATCTTTATAACTCTACATTTGTATGACTTATTTAATAAGTTGTCTAAGTTGTTTTTTTATATGAATTATTTAGAATAATCTTTTCCTTACAACTTGCTTAAAAATGGAATCTCTATGATAATCTACGCACACAAACTCTGTCATAGTTTAGTTGGTTTTTCCTACCTGCTCTTTCTTTGACAGATTAGTTTTTAAAATCTGTTTAAGCTATTATAGATGACTGGAATTTCCATCATTACTGTTCTCTGGCTTGACTTCCAATGAAGGAAACTTTTATGATAATGGATTAATTTGTCTTATTTCTGTTTTATTTGACATGTGATACTAATTAAACAATATATTTAAATACGTTTCTACTACTGACCTACTAGAGATCAGTAGTTGAATGACACATTAAGGTAAATCTAAAAACCTGATTGACAAACCATTTTCTTCCTTTATATGACTGGGATGGATTGTCCTATTTACTTTTCAGCAATCAACCTGTTTTGGCTCATATCAACTCTTCAAATTTCTATCTATATTTAAACATAAGCTCCCCCCCCTATACACACTCTACAGTTGATACCAAAGCCTTAAAGATACAAATGCACTCAACTTTAAATTTTGATGACTGGTGAATTTTATTTTTTCTTTTTTTTAAAATCATTTCAACCAAGGCAATAATGCCTCTAAGACACAAAGGTCTACTGGGAGTGAAAGAAGGAACTGGCAACCCAATCCTAAACAGAGATAAGCCTATATTCCAGTTCAAAAGACGGGA